TAGCTGTTGGTGCCAGTGGGTGCCAGTGAGCACACAGCACCCTCAGCCTCAGCATCCCAAGGGAGCGGCACAAGCTCTCCACACCATTCCCCGCTCCAGCAGCTCAGTACTTGCCATTCCTCCCAAAAACATTCCCCCTGTTCCAGCAGGAAAACAGCCCCTGTGCAAGCTGGCTGTGCTGCAGGAGCTCCCCAGGAATGCTTTGTGCCCACAAGGAAGCGTTCAGGGGCACTGGGGAAACATTTATCCATAAAGATCAAGAACATCAAACACCCTTCCCAGCACACAGCACCTCCCCGAGCCAGCCTAGCTACTGGGACATCCTGGTGGGAAGGAGCAGAGTGCCTGGGATTACACATTAGCCAGAGCCACCTCACCAAGGTCCCCGGGAGAGGGCTGGGTAGAGACAGCAGGAAAGAGCAGCCGGTGCCACAGTTAATGTGTAACAGCCCTGCCACCTTCCCCAGCCTTCTGCTCACCTGCCTCGGGCGTCAGCATCTGCCAGGGAGGGACAGCCAGGGCACCAGAGCAGGAGCAGGGCCCAGGCAGGGCTTTTGTACCTCTGAGGGGGCGAATGGGTGGGCAGGGGGCGAGGGAGGGGTGGGTGGCCTCGTTTGGCACCTGAAGGCAAGGAGGGCCCTGACGAGGGACACCTGGTCACCTGGACACTCGCTCCCAGGGGAGGTCCCTCAGGTGGTCCTGGTTGTGCAAACTCCTGCTCAGAGCCCCCTTGCTCCCTCTTCCCTGTCCCTGGTCCACATCTTCCCCACAGGCTGATGTCCCACTTCCACAGTAGCAGCCATGGCCGTTCTGCTTCATCACCGTCATCCTCACGTTCCCCTTTTCCTGGCTGAAAGGCTGTGGCAGGAATTTCCCTCGGAGCACAGGTGCCACCATTGGGTTTCAAGGCACAGAGACCCTGGGAATGGGCTTTGTCCCTCCTCCCACCAGGACAGGCCTCACAAGAACTGCCACGTTCCACTGGGGACAGAGCTCCACTCTCCTCATCACCAGACTGAAATCCCATTCCCACAGAAGTGAAAGAACCTGGGAAGTACACCCTCTCCCAGCCCAAGTTTGCGCAACCCTTGCAGTATTCTCCACCACTCTGTCACTTTGAGCATGCCAGGGTTTTCCCAGGAATGCCCTTGGAGCGCATGGCAGTTGACCTGCTCCGACCGGGTTCCTCATCAGGGCGTTGCTATGGCTTCCACCGGTGCCAAGGTTTCCCTATGGAAGCCCAGACAATGTCATTAGTGATGGGCAAGTCCAGCTGAAAAGAGAGGAAAACAGAGGAAAAATGAGCCAAGCAGCACTTTGCTTCAGCTCCCCGAGCTCCCGGAGTATCATGGAATCACAGAATATCCTGAGCTTGAGGAAGGGACTCATGAGGATCATGGAGTCCAACTCCTGGGCCCAGTAATCCCACCATGTCCATGAGAGCATTGTCCAAACACTCCTTGCCCTGGGGAACCTGTTCAAGTGCCCAACCACCCTCTGGGGGAAGAACCTTTTCCCAACATCCAACCTGAACCTCCCCTGTATCCCTGTAGTCCTGTCTGGGGATCATGGGGATGACGCTGGGTCAGATCCCCCCGGTCACTCCCTGGGAGGTCACTGGAAGGGGCGATTCCAACCCTACAATCCCCCCCTCAACACCAGCCTGATGGTGTCAGCAGCATTCCCACCAACAGCCTGGCTGATCCGTGCTGACAGTGATTCCAGCGCTGCGTTCCCGCCGCTCCTGCCGCGCCAGGGTCCATGCGCCGGGAGATGGACGTGTGATTGATGTGGCGCCCGCGATACGCCACCGGCGCTGCTTATCTGCGCCGTCCCCACGGGCTCCCGGCCTTCACAGCATCGCTGTCACTTCCTTTCCCTTGGGTTTCCCTTTTTTTTTTTTTTTTTCCCAACCTGCTCAGCTCTTCCCATGCACTCCAGGTGGTCTGTTTTCCCCTGCAGGAATTAGGGAAGTTGGACGAACTGTCCTGGGCAAAACTCATAGTGCACAGATGTGAGTGGAGGCGGGTGAGCTGGAGCAGGTGGAGGGTACCTGCTTTTCATGGCAGGACGCTGAGAGCTAAATCCATCCAGAGCAGCTTCCAGGGGGACTCTGAGTCCCGCATCATGGTGCCAAAATGCCACTCCAAAAGCTGGGTGCACACAGAAGGACCAAGGTTAGCTGTGGGGATGGGGAGGTGGATGGGCAAGAGGGGAGAAGAAAATCAGTCTGAGTGGGAACGTATCGCTGGGGCACATCCCTCCCTCTCCCCTTGCTTCCTCAGGAACATGGACCTTCACTTGGAAACACCAGGAAATGTCCCCTGCTCTGCCAGGCATGTGAGGGCAGGACCAGCCCATGCCATCCCCAGGATGTCCCCAAAGCTCTGCTGTCACAGGGTCCCTCAGCTCCCCAGCAGCCCAGGCAGCCTCCCTTGGGCAAGGGTCAGTGTCCAAGCACTGGTACCGTGACCTGGGGTTGCTGTGTCCCATCAGGCCCCCACCCCAGCCTCTGTGCCCCACCAGCTCCCACCAACACCTTCTCCCACTCCTCCACATTGCAATCCCCGGGAAAAGAGGGAGAAAAAATAAATGCAATGAAATTAAATTATGCCTTTTCAAAATGAGGGGTGGATGCCCACTCCCAAATGAAAACCTGGCTGAAAGGGGTAACTCACATCTACCTCTCCACAGGTTTCATCCTTCCCTCCCCTGTTCCAGCTGCTGGGAACAGGAGTGAGCCCGTCCCGAGCGGGCGTTGCTGCAGCAGATTGCGCTGTGTGCTCAGCCCGGGGACAGCCCAGGGCCATCTGTCACCCCAGGTGTGCACATGGCGGGCCCTGCGGCAGCAAAGGTCCCCCAGCTCCTCAAACACACCCGTCACCCGAGGCAGGGTGCAGGGGGGGTGTAAAGTGAGGGTGGGTGTGCTGCACCATCCCCTCATCCCGGCTCCCCCAGCAGTGTCCATCCCATTCCCTGGGGACTGAGGTGGTGGACTGGGTGTCATTCTGAAAACCAGACTGGAACAAGGAGCAGCTCATCCCAGACTTCAGTTCCTGCTCATCCCAAACCCTGTGCCACCTTCCTGAGCTCTCCTCCTCTCCAGGGCAGAGGGTCCTCCTGGGCACTCTGAATTCCTTCACTTTAGCGAAAGGACTGCGTATGAAAAGTGGAAATGCATCCCTTCAGCCAGGGAATCTCTGGTTTGTTCTGTCCTACCTGAGCATTCCAAGGCCAGAGCTCCCAGTCCCCTCCTGAGCCTGGGACACAAAGAGGTGCCAGCGGACTCTGCACGAGAGAAGTCGAGGCTGTGACTGCAGACACTTGGAAATAACCACTCCATGATGAGGTGGAGCCCATCCCAACCTCCCCAAACTGGGGTCCAGACCGCCCACCTTGCACACCAGCACCTCCAAGAGATTCCACACAGGACAGTTTGGGACGTAATTCCCAAGCCTGCATGAACCAAGGCCGCATCATCTACTTTGCTCTCTCCCTGGCCTGGTGGATTGTTTTCAGCAGTTCCAGGGGATGGTGGCACACACGTGCCAAAACATCCTCAAAAAATAAATAACCAATAAAAATGGGGTTATTAATAAATTAGGAACTGGGGATGGAGTGAGACATCCTGGGCACCCACACTGGATTTCTGGTTGTGAGAGCACAGGCCTCGCAGGTATGAAACCAAAGATTATTTACATAAACAAACAAGTATGAAAATACAAATTATTTAATTTGTATTTTGATGCGGACAACAGGATTATTTACTCCCACAATTGCACCGCCTCATTCAGTAATCTGGGCACTTCCTTATCCAAACAAAACAAGCCTGGTGAAGTTATTAATTGCTCGGAACAAGATCTTTATTGATTGGTGTGAGGATCAATCACTTTATCTGCGGGCAGCTCTGCTCGAGCCGCCTGTGACTGGGGTGTTTCACTAAGAGATATCTGTCCTGGGCCCTGGGACTTTCACAGAGGAGTCCAAGGTCTTTCCAGAAACAGGGCAGGTGGTGCAGAGGGTCCAGGTGAGGTGAGGTGGAGAAGGGTCCCTGTCACCTTCCCCCTGGCACCAGTGATGCCCCTTCAACAAGACCTTGTGCATCATCCTGGAGAGACAAGGGAAAGGGTTCCACAAAGCCCTTTGGGAGGGAGATGGGCTACAAGGATGGGGTGCCCAGGAAGCCCTTCTGGCCAGCTGGAACCTCTCCATACTCAGTAATGACAGAGGTGTCATACCTTTGGCAGGAGCCTCTTGCAGCCAGGTGCTGCAGGCAAGGGTCCACAGCACCGAGCTCGGGAAGTGTTTGGACAGTGCTCTCAGGCACATGGGGTGATTTTGGGGGTTGTCCTGTGCCGAGCCAGGAGCTGGACTTGACAATCCTCGGGAGTCCCTTCCCAGTCAGGATATTCTAGGAGTCTGTGACCACTCTTCATCCCTGGCTTCAGGGAAACTGGACAGCACCACTCTTCTTCCCCTACTCCATCACCTTTTCTTCCTCTTCCTTGAAAAAAATAAATTAAAAAAAAATAAATTACGTTAAAAAGCAAAAAGGACCAAAAATGACCAAGGAGGGACAGGGGAGGGGGCTGCAGCTGGAGCGGGCTCTGGCAGCGCAGCTCTAATCTCCCGCAAACCCCCGCTATCAGCGCTCGGATCAGCATATCTAATGTAAACGAGCTTTCACACATAAATAACGTGCCACATCTGGCTGTTTGGGTTTACAGCGCCTTGGCTACCGAGCGATTCGCGCAGGGCGAGCGGGCTGCGGAGCGGCCGAGCCGGCCCGGGAGGGGGGTGCGAAGGAGCGGGGCGGTGGGCGAGGGGCAGCCCGGGGGGGGCCGGAGCCCCCGCGCCGCACACAGAGGCTCCTTTGGGGAAGGGGGGCCGGGGGGAGGGCTCTGCCCCCCGGGGGGAGAGAGGGGCCGGCTCAGCCTTAAAAGAGCCACCCAGGAACCGGCGTGTTTGCGCTTATTCCCAATTTATGGCCGCGGAGCATATGGCCGGTGTTCCGCCCCGCGCCAGCCGCCGGGGAGGGGAGCAAACAGCGCGGGGGATGTGAGGTCGGAGGGAGAAGGAGCGGCCCCGGCACACGACGGAGACAATGCGGGAGGCGGGGGGCCGCCGACCGAACCCCCCCGCCTAGGGACCCCCCCGCCTCGGGACCCCCACCCAGGTGAGCATCCACAGGGGAGCGGGGGGCGCCGGGGAGACCCTCCCGCACAGGGACCCCTGTCCAGGTAAGCCCCGAGAGCGGAGCGGGGGGACATCACCGCCTGGGGACCCCTGGCCAGGTGAACCGCGGGTGGGAAGGGATGGACTCCACCGTATAGGGACCCCCGGCCAGGTGAGCCCCGGCAGGAAGAGAGAGACCCCCAGCCTGGAGACCCCGGCCAGGTGAGCCCCGGGGCCGCCGGGGAAGAGGGGCCATCCGGGGATCGGGAGCAGCAGGTGGGAAGGGGCTTTGCGGGGGCTTCCGTGGGGCACCGGCCGCGGAGGTGGAAGGTGATGCTGAGCGCTGAGGGGACGCGTCCCCCGGCCCCGACGGCGCGGCTCCGACACGGCCACGGGTGGGCGCGGGGCCGGGGAACAGCGCGGGGAGGGGGAGCCCGGGGTGGCCCCCCCCAACGCCCCGGTGGCGGGACACTTCTCGGCTGCGACGGCAGAGTACGCCAGAGGACCGGGAATGACCGGGAACGGCCCCGGCCCCGGTGCTGCCCCCTCCTCCTTCACCCCTTCGCTTCTCTGCCCACGCCGCGCGTGTGCTCCTGACTCGGCCCCGACTATCTGAGTCGAGACCCCCCGGGTGGACCCTCCCTCACCCAGACCCTGACACCCCCCCAAGCTGCGCAAGGCACGGGAGTCTTCCTCTGAGTCTTCCCGCGGGTCCGCAACCCCCCCACTCGCGACACGCACCCACTGCTACCTGGACGCTGAGCCCTCCGCGTTGGGCTTGCGGGTGTGGGAAGTGAATCCAGATAAGAGAGTAAATCCCCCGCGCTCCCATCGCCCGCGGGCGAATGGGTCGGGATTTCCTTCCCGAGGAGAAAAACCCCATTTCTGACAAAGCTTAATCTCGTTGGGACACGTTTAATCATTAGAGACGGGGGCGGACAGAGCCGGGGGGCTTCGAAGGGGGGAGACCCCCGTTTGTCCGACAAATAAACCAATTTATAACAGACTAGAAGGGGAAGGGAGCCCCGGGCCGGGCTTACAGATCCCCCCGGGACGAAGAGGGGAAATTAAATAAGACAAATATGTGGGTCGGGGGCTGCGGGCTCCCGGCTTTGTGCCTGCCCGCACGGCCGTACCCCACTGCCTCCATCACTATGGGCAATAATTTCCAAAATCTCATTAAAGTGCATTTATCAAAGCCCTAACATGTGCCCTCCGGCTCTGCCATAACCCCGCCAGCCCCCAGGGAGCGGGGGAAAATCCCAATTTCTATGACAATTCGCCACCTCGGGAGGTTGGCTGCGGGGCAGACCCAGATCTACAGATTTATAAGCAATATCGGTGAATTGGAAGGATTTCTCCGCCTTTGAAGCTTCGGGGGGAAGGAGATAGAGTAATCGTGAGAATAGGGAAGCTCATTTAGATTCCTATGTCCTGGAGAAGAATTAATTGTCTGCTGGAGAAAGGCAGGCCAGCGCCGGGATTTTGGGGGGCTGCGGGGACTTTCCCTGCAGCTTCCATAGGGAAGGCTGATGCTGCTCCCTTTCTGCGTGCGGGGGGATCTTCCACCCTTTCCCCCCTTTTCCTTTCTTTTTCTTTTTTTTCCTTTCTCTTTCCCTTTCCCCCCAAAACATCCTTAACGCCTTTGTTAATGCCATTTTTCCAGCCTGGGAAAGAGACGGGAATTTCACCCCGCAGAAACTCCGTTACAATTAAGTTCCTGAAAGCGCCGGAGGATTCAGAGGGTTCTGGTTCCCCTTGATTTTGGGAAATACGATTTTTTTGCGCTCCCTCCGTCCCCGGTAGGGCTGCCGGTGTGGAAGGCATTCCCGTGGCGTGGGTTCCGTGCCCGCCGCCTTTCCCACGGCCTGGCGTGGCCGGTTCCCTCCGAGCCGGGGCTGCCGCCGAGCAGCAGCATCCCCGCTTCAGGCTGGAAAATGCGATTTAAACCTCTCCGAGAGGAGCGCGGGGTGGGATTGGGGGGTGATTACACAGCAATCGTTTTACTCTTTTTTAAAATCGTGGGGGTTTTTTGTTGTTGTTTCTGTTTGTTTTTTTTTCCTTTAAGTCGCCAAGAAAAGCTGTCCCCTCTAATGTCGCGGCTCTCCTTTCCCCCGCCACACTTTAAAACAAAGAGGATGTTACTTACAGGGGTGCTCCCGAGGTGAAGCTCCTCAGAACAATTATCAGGACATGGGCCGCTCTTCCCTTTCCCCATTCATTCCAAGTGGATCTCATGCTAAGAGATAAAATCAACCTGTCCCCTAACAAAGGCTTTGTGTGGGCTCCGCTAATCCGGGCCGAGCGGCAAGGTGCAGCCCCGCTCGGTTTGTTTGTTTGTCCGTGGGCTGGAGGGGAGGAAAAACAATATCTCGCACCTTTGGGCTCATCAAAGGATAAATTGACCCCCTTCTCGGCCGGTACCGGAGCTGCGGTGCAGGGTCGGTGCGGGCAGGGAGGAGAGGGAGAGCGGCAGGCTCCCGCCAGACACCCTTCCCCTCGTTCGTATAGAGATTAGATATTATTATATCTTATAACAGTACACATTATGTTGTATTATATATAATACACGTGTAGGATGTCACCCGGTGGGGAAGGAAATGGAGTTGGGGCGTGGGTGGCTAAAAGCAGAGGGGGAGCCCCGGCGCTGTGCGAGGAGCGGGACCCTCAGGCCGCGGCCGGGAGGAGAAACGCGACGAAACCGCTTAAAAACACAACCCACGGGCCTTCCGTGGCGTGGCGAGACCCGCTCGGTCGCCCTCTGCCACCCGTGTCACCTGCGCGCCCTGCGGGTTCGCAGTGGCTGAACCCACGCGTGAGCGGGGCAGGGTAGTTGCCTCTGTCCCTCTCGCATCCGCGCCGATGGTCGCTTCCCCTCTCTTACAAAGTATAAAAACAAGAGGTAACGCCACTGACCCCACGCGCGCCGCCCGTGGGGTGGAGAGGCCTCTCCCCACGCAGCTTGTGGGGCTCGGGGCCGAGCGGCGGGTGTCGGAGCTACCCGGGAGCGCAGACAGGGAAACAGCCCCCGTGGGCAGAGCCACTTGTCCCCGCGTGCCGCCACTCAGCCCGTGTTCCCGCACCGCGGCCTCCCGTGGGCTGGTGCCACCAGCCCGGCCGGGGTGACCCCCTCGGGAGAGGGGCGGGAGGGCACCCCCGAGCCACGTCTGCCCCGCCACCTCTCTCCCCAGCGCTGGAGCACCCCCCCCACGCGTGGGAGCAGCCGGGCGGGCGCGGGGTGTGCGGCCGGCGGGGACTGGGGGGAGAAGGCATTAAGGGTGGCAGGGGACACCCCCCTGGCTCTATCGCGACAGCCACTGGGCCGCCGTCGGGATTTTCCCCCGCGCAGCACAGCTGTGGGTGCGGAGGTTGTGGGGGCTGTGGGGGCTGCGCCCCGGCCCCGAGACCCCCCCTGACGTCAAAGGGCTCTTACGTCAGACCCCTCCGGTGACGTCACGGAGGCCCGGGACGCTCCCTCGGTGCGCAGCGATGTCCGCGCGTGGAGGGGGGGCCGCGACCCCCGGGGCTGTGACCGACCTCTGCTCCCGTGGGCATCTCCCGCTCCCATCGCCCTCGGGCCCCGCATCGCGCGGGGTCTGCGGGGCGCTCTGCCCGTGTCGTGGGGTTCGCGCGTCTGTTCGGGTTCGGAGGGGGAGTTTTTAATCATTATTATCGTTATTAATACTATCACCATTATTTAAAGTCCGGCCCGCGCAGCCCCGGGGATGCTCTGCCTGTCCCTCCCCGCGCTTGGCTTCTGTCGGGGTTCTCCGTCCCGCCGCTATCGCGATTGTCACTGTTATTTATCCCTGCTCTTTTTTCCCTATCCTGTGGAATTAAAACCCATCCTGTCCCATCCGAGCCGCCCTCCCCGCTCCGGGGGCCTGAATAAATCCATCGGTAACCCCAAGATTTGCTGGGAATTCGCTATATTTTCGCAGTGCGCGGGGAAGGGGAAGGAAGCGGGGCGGGGGTGGCTCGCCCGAAGGGGTTCCCTCGATATCGAGGAGGACTCCGCAATGGATGAAGAGATAGCCATTGAGTGCGGTTGAATACCATGACAACTAGGAACAACCTCAGATTTATTCCCAACAGTTAGGGCGCGCTGAAAGAGGGCGTCAATCACGTATTATTTCGCCACTGAAATAAATGCAAAAACTGCGCCGAGACAAAGGGTTCCAACAGGAGCCGGACATTTGTCTACATTGCGGACATTGTCCTCAGCTTAGCCGTCGGGTTGTATTTGTGTTTGCGCGGGGCCGACCACCCAGGATGCGCGCAGGGGCTCGCTTAAAAAAAAAAAAAAAAAAAAAAAGGAGGGGGGGAAATCCCTGGGCATTGTCAGCCACATCACATACTTTATGGGAGGCAGGCTGGGGGCTGGGGGAGGAAAGACGGGGGGAGCGGCGAGGGAGAGGAGGGGAAGGTGCGAATCCATTGATGGGCGCAGAGGAGGATGACTGAGGGACCGTCTTCCCACCACGGCGAGCCGCGTTACGGCTCCTTCGCCCCGGAGGGGAGACTCGGGCAACTTTTCTTTCCCAGAAATGAGGGGGGTGGTGGGAAGCCCCTTCCCAGATTATACAAATCCCCACCCACCCACCCCGCACATCTCCATCACCCCCGCACACGGGCCCGTCCCGGAGCGGTTCGGGGAAGGGACAGGGACAGGGACAGGGACAGGGAAAAAGGAAAAGGGAAAGAGAAAGGGAAAAGGAAAGGGAAAGGGATGGAAGGGGAAGGAAGGAGACGGGGAAAAGGAAGGCAGTCTGGGCCGTGCCCAGCGAGGGTGCGCACAACCAAGGCTCCTCGGAGGGTGCAGGAAAGGAGAGAAGAAAGAAAACGAAAATAAAAGTTGGTGGCAGACAGATAGAACTTGTGGGAGGGGGCGGGGGGTCCTGCACCCCGCGAAGGGGAGGGGGAGCCCCCACGGCCGCTCCGCCACGACCCGAGGCCTGGGATGCTGCGGGGCTCCCCTGCGGGGCCGGAGCCGAGTGCGGGGAGGGGTGCTGTGTGCGTGACACCTGGGGGGCCGGCCTTCCTTTGGGGAAGGAACCCTTTCTTTGCCCCCTCCTTCCGTGCCGTGGTCGTGAAAAAAAAAAAAAAAAAAAAAAAAAAGGAAAAATACAGCAAAGAGGAAAAAAATCAGTCATATATGAGAGTCCATCGGGCTCCAGCCCATCGAATTATCCAAACGGGCTGGATTTATTCCCTTGGAAGAAGGAGGCAAAATCAATGAGACCTCTTCAAATAAACACACCCCCTCCCCAATAATCACCTCCCGGATCTCCGCGGGTCGCGCCTGACGATCGCATTTTGCCAGTTCGCTTAATTTCGGAGCAAACTAGAATCAATTACTCGCTGTTTAATTTCCAGCGCTCATCCCTAAGCCCCAACCAAAATATTGACCTAGGCGGGTTAGATAAGTTGGGCTCTTGCCATCTGAGCCGCCTCGGTCCCGCGCGGGGCCGGGAGCGCGTCCCCGCGCGGAAAGGCTGCGCGGGGGGTGTGTGTGCGGGAACAGCCTCCAGCACACCACCACCACCCCCTCCCAAGACTTTATTTTTTTCTTTTTTTGCCCCTCGCTCGGAAGAAAACATCGGTGCAAAACACACTTTGGAGTGCGAGGAGTGTCGGGCTGGTGCGAAGCTCTTTGTATGTAAATACTGTCCTTAAAAAAAAGAAGGGAAGTCGCCCCCTCCTTCCCTCCCTCCCTCCCGCTGCCACACGCGCACACACCCGCGCGAAGGGCCCTCCCCACGCCGGTAATTAACTGACACGTTATACCACTCATCACCAATGGTGGAAGCTCGGAGCTCGCCCAAAACCCGCAATTTCACATCTGCAAACACTGTCTTCATCCACTTGACTTCCAAGACCCGCCCACACGTGGCCAACCTTTCCTGGGTTTAATGTAGGTTTTTTTTCTCCCTCCTCTCGGCAGGTTCATGTGTGGGGACCAGCCTTATATGGACTCCTCGCTCCAGCAATGGCTCGGGATCTTCCAGCGGCAGGCGCGGGTTCGGCGCGGCTGAACAAGATCCAGAAGTGATCTTTTTTTTTTTTTTTTTTTCCTTTTTTTTTTTTTTTTTTTTTTTTTTTTTTGGCGTCTGTTCCCCCTTTCCCCCTGGAGTTACAAACTATTCCCGAAGCCAGCTGCTGCTCCCGCTCTCGGAATTTTCCCCCGTGGCAGAACAACCATCACCGCAGAGACCCGTCGCTGCGGCTGCTTCTCTCGCACAGCCCCCTCCGCTTATTTTTCTATAAATCTATATTATTCTATTTTTTTTCCCGTCTCCACGCGTGCCACCCCCCCCTCCCGTGTCCCTGCACGCTGTCGCTGTCGCCGCTCCGCGTGTACGTGCCCACCCGTGACACGGCGGCTCGGCCGAGCTGCGGCTCCAACTTTCCCAGCCGAAATTTGGCCGGAACATGTCTCTGACCAACACAAAGACGGGCTTCTCGGTGAAGGACATTTTGGACCTCCCCGACACCAACGATGAGGACGGCTCGGCGGAGGGCGGCGAGGAGGAGAGCGAGGCGCCCGAGCCGCCCAGGAAAGCGGGAGTTTTGGGACAAACCCCCTTGGACACTGTTCCGACGCTGCCTTTGAAGAGCCCTTTCTATGATAACAGCGATAATCCCTACACGCGCTGGCTGGCGAGCGCCGAGGGCATCCAGTACTCCCGTGAGTGCCGGGGGACGGGGCAGGGGGTACCGGAGGCCATGGGGGGCCGTGAGGAGTGATGGGGGGTGGATGCAGGGTGGATGGGGGGGTTGCCGCTCGCCCCGGCCGGTTCCTCCGTGCCCCCCACGGACGGGGCAGCCTCGCTTCCAGCTGCCCTCGGCGGCGGGGCGGGTGTTGGGGGCGGTGGGGGACGATGAAGGGTGGATGGGGGGGAGGATTTGTGTCTCTCCAGTGCTGGCTGCGCCCCGGCCGGTGCCTCCATCCCCGCCCCGGCCGGGAGAGATGCGGGGTGCGGCGGGAGGGACGCGAGGGCGGCGGGAGGGGTGCAGGGGGTGGCGGAGGGAGCCCCCCCGGCCCGTTCCCCGCTGATCGAGCACCGGCTGTCCGCAGTGCACGGGCTGGCGGCCGGCGGCGGCGGCCAGGACCCCTCGGCCAAGTCACCGGAGCCGTCGGCCGACGAGTCGCCCGACAACGAGAAGGAAGCGGCGGGCGGCGGGGACGCGGGGAAGAAGAGGAAGAGGAGGGTGCTCTTCTCCAAGGCGCAGACCTACGAGCTGGAGCGGCGGTTCCGGCAGCAGCGGTACCTGTCGGCGCCCGAGCGGGAGCACCTGGCCAGCCTGATCCGCCTCACCCCCACCCAGGTGAAGATCTGGTTCCAGAACCACCGCTACAAGATGAAGCGGGCCCGGGCCGAGAAAGGTATGGAAGTGACTCCTCTTCCCTCCCCGCGGCGGGTGGCCGTGCCGGTCTTAGTCAGGGACGGCAAACCCTGCCACACGCTCAAAGCTCAGGACTTGGCAGCCGCGACTTTCCAGACGGGAATCCCCTTCTCCGCCTATAGCGCCCAGTCTCTCCAGCATATGCAATACAACGCCCAGTACAGCGCGACCAGCAACCCCCAGTACCCCACAGCACACCATTTGGTACAGGCTCAGCAGTGGACTTGGTGAAGGCTGCCGGGGAGCGCGCACACCCGCACACGCTTCCCCTACACGCACACACACCCAGAAAAAAAAAATAAAACAAAAAAAAAACAAGGAGGAGAAAACAAAAATAATAAAGAGAGAGAGAGGAGGAGACAGACTGATGCTCCAAAAATAAAATCGAAACTGTGGGGGAAGGAATGGAGAGGGAAACGCTATTATTATTATTATTATTGCTATTATTATTATTATTGCTATTATTATTATTATTATGGTTTTTTTCCCTCTGCCGTTTCTTTTCCCCTCCATTTTTTTGGGGGGGGTTCGGTTTCATTTCGGGGGGAGGCGGGGGGGAAGGGAGGGGAGGTGTTTTTTGTGCGTCATTGTTTACAGAAATTTTTTGCGCCATTCAGAGTGGTCCTGTCTACCTACAACTAAAATAAAAGAGGAACGGGGGGGGGAGATCGTCAGAATTAAAAAAAAAAAAATAAAGAATAAAACCCCCCCGCTGCTCCTGTGATTTTGTGAGGAACGGGGTGCGGCCGCCGAGCGGGGCACCCCAGAACGGGGAGCTCATCGCTCCCCTTCGTGCACGATTTGCGGCCCCGACAACTACGAACGGGGCCGTTTTTACACCTCGTTGTGGTTGTCGCTGCCGTGAGCCGCGACCGGGGCGGTCAGTTCGCTCTCTCCTATTTTGGGGCTTGTCTCAACTATTCCCGAGCAGAGGAGAAGGAGCCGCGGACGGCGGAACCCTCCCTGCCCGGAGAGCGGCCGGTTGTGCGGCAGCCCGGGCTCTCCGCGATTTAATACGGATTCGATTTTTTTTTTTTTAAAAAGCTGTATTTCAAGAAAAAATAATAGAGAAGGAACCGATAACAACGACGGAACGGTTTTGTTCGATTTCTCGTTGCGGCCGCCGCCGCCTCCCTGCATCGCCTGGCTCAGCCCTGCGTGGGGCCAGCCGGGCCCCCACCGGAGACACGGCCGAGCAGGGCCCCACGCAGACCCCTCCAGCAGCCCAACTTCTCTCCCTCTCTCTTTTTTTTTTTTTTTTTTTTTTCCCCTGGGGAAAGCGGCTTTTTTGGGAGGGTCAGTCGGCTTTAGCCCTCTGGCGAAAAACGGGAGCGGGAAGAATTTATATTTTCACATTTTCTACCGGTAATTGTGCCTTTCTACACCCCAGTGCCACCCCTGGTGCTGCTGGGGTTTGGGTACCAGCATCACTCGGCGCCCCTTCCCCGGGCTGAGGGCCCTGCGAACGGCGGGGAGCGCGGTAACTTCGGGGTCAGCCCTCGGGGATGCGCCGGCGGCCCAGGCAGGGCGGGGGAAAGGGTTAACAACGGAAGAACCCCCCTCAAAAAAAAAAAAAAAACGGAGGAAGGGGGAAAGGGGAGAGGAGAGGCGAGGCGGGGCTGGGCAGCTCGGCCGGGGTGTAACGGGGACCGGGACCGGGCAGGCGCAGCCCCGGCTCGGAGCGGGTTGGGGCAGAGCATTGGCTTCCCCCACAGCTTTTAGGCTGGTAAAGACGCTTTTAAAAAGCGAAAACAAAACCAAACAAGCTTTCGTCCCGAGTCCTGGGGCCGGGGCAGCGCCCGCCCCGTCCCGCGGGGAGTTCAACGCCAAGGCGGCGATCGGCACCGGCCCCGCAGCATCCCGGTCCTGCCGAATCCCGACCCGCAGCATCCCGGCCTCGCAGCACTCCCGGTCCCGCAACAACCCGGCCCTGCAACACCCCGGTCCCGCCGTGCCTTCTCCGCCCCGGCGCAGCCTCCACCTGCCGCGGATCCCCCGCTGCAGCCTCCGCGCTGCGCTCGGGGTTTTGTCCTTTTCCTCACTTATTTTTTTTTCGCACCCCTTCTTTTCTCGTTCCTCCTTCTCCCACCTACCATCGCCAGCCCACCGAGGCTCCGCGCACCGGCGGAGCAGCCGCGGCCCTTCCCCGGGGCACCTGCTCCCCAGCCCGGGGGAGGCTCCGCCGGGGTCCCGGACCCGAGGGGAACACCCGGACAAGTGCCGGTTTTCCCTTCTCCAAGCCCAGTGCGCTAGCACAGGAGTGGAGAGAAGGAAAATTGCCACATATTTCTTCTTCCTTAAATTTTTAATTTTTAATATTTTTCCTTTTTTTTTTTTTTTTTTTTTTTTTTCCCCTTCCCTTTCCCCTCGGGCTCTACCGAGTCTATCAAACCAGTTGTGTGGCCCTAACCTCCGTGGCCTTATATCTCCCATGCTGCCGGGCCAGTCTATCTTTGCACAATATACAGTAGACTTCAGAGAGCAGCACAATGGGGGAGGCAGGGAGGTGAGCATGTTAGAGGCGTGCATATTAACGAGCCGGAGCCAAAGGAGCCAAAGGAGCCGGGGAAAAACCGCAGAGACAGTACGGGAGGGGGGGGACGCCCTCCCTGTGCCTTCCCTCGCTTCGCCTTCCCCCCACGCCTGTTTTGGGGGCACGGCATTGATGCGGAGCGCGGAGTCAGGGAGCAGTGTCCTCCGCGTTTTGTTCGGGCTGTCACTCGCGCTCATTGTTCGGCATGTTCTACATGTTGTATCCCATATGGCCAGCTGGGCCGGGGACCCCTCACAAAACCCAAATTGTGCCCAGCTTTCAAACCCAGCATTGTTGTCTGTGAAAGGGAGGCGAATTAAAAATTCGTGCTATATCTATTCTGGAAAAAAAAAAAAAAAAAAAAGAAAGGGGGGGCGCAAGGAGAAAGAATCCGCTCTCTTCCCTCCCTCTCTCCTCTCTTTGAAGGCCAACAGAGACTCTCCTCTTCTCCCGGTCGCCGCTGACAAGTTTCTCTCTCATTTCACAGGAAATTAGCCTTCCCTCACCGCTCCCCCCCGCACAAATCGCGGGCGCATCCCCCCGCAGGAGCCCGCGGAGCTGCGCTGCGCGGCCGCGCTGCTGCGCGGAGGCCGGGGCAGAACAAGGCGGCATTGAGGGAGGGCCGGGCTGCAGCTGCCGCCTCCCTGCGCGGCCCGGCCGTACCGGCTGGCACGTCCCGCTGCCCCCCGGAGAAACGGCCCTTTCTTGTCCGAGCTCCTGGTTGTGCAAGGCGGGCCGGCCCAGGCAGGGAGGGAGGAAGAGAGAGGCAGGGTGAAATTAAAAAAAGAAAAAGGAGGGGAATAAAAGGGAAAAAAAAAAAAAAAAAAGGAAAAAATTACCTGACATGAAAAAAAAAAAAAGAAAGTAGAGGGGAAACAAAAAATGGAGGGGAAAATAAAATAAAAAAGAAAAACGAGGGGAAAAAAGGAAAAGGAAAAGTGGAAAGAGGAAAAAGCAAAGAGAAGAGGAAAAAGAAAAGACAAGAGAAAAAGAAGGAGTGGGGGAAAAAAGAAAAAGAGGGGGAAAAAAGGAATAACGAAAGAGAGAAGAAGGAAAAAACGAAGAGAAAAAAAGAAAATGGAAAGGAAAAGGAAAAATAAGAAAACGTTCAAAAAGGGAAAAAACGAAGGAAGAAAAAAGAAAATATAAAATTAAAAAAATATAAAGAAAAGGAAAGGAAAGATAACGGGGCAAAAGGGAAAACAGGGGGCAAAAAGTGAAAAAAGGGGGGAGGACCTCCCCCCAACTCCGCCACCCTCGGCGTTTCCCGCGTCCCGGGCAGAGGGGGGTCCGCAGCGCTGCGCGGGGTCCTGGCGGTGCCCCGGAGCTGAGCCGGTGGCGGAGCGGGCCCGCAGCGCAGGGATGAGGCTTCACCCGGGGGGGTCCGTCCATCGCCCCCCCCGACACCCCCTGCGAACCCCTCGACCCCCGGAGGGCACTTCTCCTCCTCCGGGGCCGTCCGTCGGGAGGGAATCTCGATTTGGGGCACAGGCGGCCGGGGAGAAGCTCAGCCCGGGCTTCAGGCCCCGCTGCCTTTCCTCTTCCCCCCCAGTTCTCCCGGTGTTCTCCTCCCACCGCCCTGTGCAGGGCCGGAGCTCCGGGGCGCCCCGATACCCCGGCGATGGGCGGGAAGCCCCTTAAGCCCGGCAATAACTTCCTCTCGTCACCTATTGACTGTTGGGCTTAGGCGCGGACCGGTGTGGATTTTTCGGGGCTGTTCAAGGAGCCGGTCAATGGGAAGCTAAGCCAATATTTACCGAGTATGAGGGCAATTCTCGGCGGTGTTTATTAAGGAGCCGGGGGGGGGGAGAGGACGGGGGGACCGCCCCCGCGACGGGGCTGGAGCGGCGAGACACGACCCTGGGCCACGTTTCGGGATATTCGCACGCGTGGCCGCGGGAGCGCGTTGCTCCCCCGCGTAACCCCCGCAAACATCATCCCCCCGCCAACCTCTCCGGAAAGGCACCACTCGAGGGGTTTCTCGCCTTAAAGGGAGGACTGTGGTTTATTTTTCATTGCTCTGCGGCCGAGGGACGGGTTTGCCGTGCCCCCCTGCCCGCGGCGAGGCCGCAGGGAGGCAGCAGAGCCCCGCGCAGCCCGGCGGAGGACGGGCCGGAGGCTCCGCTCCCCCTCCGCGCCCCCCGGGGACCGGCGAGGGGGGGACCCCGGGGGAGCCGAGGCGGTGGGCGGCGGGCAGCGCTCCCCGACATCCCTCCCCTCCCGCCGAGATGGCCGCGCGGCGGCGCTGCTGGATAAGGGACGCGCCGTCGGGGCCGCCCCTCGGCAACCACCCCCCCATCCCCCGGCTCCCCCGCGGGGAAGGGACCCTCCCCCCGCGCGGTGACACGGACGGGAGGGTGGGTGGGGAGCCCCCCGGGGGGCAGTGGACAGCCCCCCGCCTCGCCCCGCTGCGAGAGGAGCGTCTTTAGCCCCGCACCGACGGGGCCCGAGACGCCGCTTCGAAACACAGCCCAGAGCTCCCGGCGCGGAGTTATCTGCTCCCCCAAGCCTTAGGTGGGGCACGGCACCGCGCAGCAGGGACTCCTGCTGCCCACGCTGGTGGCACCGCCACCCCTCCTGCCCCCAGCAGCCCCCCAGCCCCTCGGAACGCATCTGGTGGGCAAGCAGCGCACCTCCTGTCCCTGGCAGGGTCTGGGCATGAGCAGTCACCTCTTCCACACCGTTACGAGGAGCAGCCACGACAGAAGAACAAACAAACCGGCCAGAGGATGGCACTGAATTTCAGAGAGCTGGAGGTGATGAGGCAGCGCATTCACCGCTTTCTCCCAGTTCTCCATCTCCTCTCACCCCCTCACAAAGCCAGTGCTGGCAGCTGGGGACAGCGACAGCTGCCTCCCCGCTGCTGCCGGCACGGGCGGGACACCGAGAGCCCTCGTGGTCAGAGGGAACTAGACACCTGAGCGCGACAGGTAGGTGCCTCAGCACAGCCCTTTTCTTGGAACGCTCCAGCTCCAAAATGCTCTGGG